GTAGCTCCTCGTGGACCTCCTGCAATTCTGCTGCTAAATGTTCCGCTCCCTGCGACTCCCCCTGTGTCGTTGTCTCCAGCGCCGGGAATGTTCTGGGATGTCGCCCATTGTTGGCGAAGAACGGTGTCACCCCCGTTGACGCGTGCTTCGTGTTGTTGTAGGCAAACTCGGCCATCGGTAAGTAGTCCACCCAAGTTGCCGGCTTCTGATTGGCGTAACAGCGCAGGTACTGCTGCATGATGGCGTTGACCCTCTCCGCTTGGCCGTTGGTTTGCGGGTGTCTCGCCGACGCTAAGTTGATCTTGACATTCAGGATGCCCAGGAGCTTCTGCCAGAAACTGGAAATGAATTGGCGACCCCGGTCGGACAAAATGGACCGTGGTAAGCCGTGCACCCGGAACACGTGGTCTATGAATAGCCTGGCGGTCTGCTCCGCTGTTGCCACCTTCGCGCAAGGAATGAAATGCGCCATCTTGGTGAACAGATCTACAACCACAAGCACCGCCGTCTTGCCCCGCGAACTGGGCAGATCAGTGACAAAGTCCAGCGCCACCCTTTCCCACGGCTGCAGTGGCGTCTCCAACGGTTCCAGCAATCCCGCTGGCTTCTTGTGCACTGGCTTGGACCTCTGACAAGTGTCACACCTGGCGACGTAATCCGCGACTTCTCCCCGCATCTGGGGCCACCAAAAGTCCCTGGCTACTAAGTCCGCCGTCTTCTCCTTGCCGAAGTGACCCGCGCTGGGGGCGTCGTGTAACTGCTGTAAAACCTTCGCTCGGAGATCGTCTCCCGGGACGTAGAGAGCACCTTTGCGGGTCAGCAGGCCGTCGCGTATCTGGAATTCGCCGTCCTTTGCTGTCCCTCTTCGCACCTCCTCCATCTTGGATTGTGCAAACGGATCCGTCTGTAACGCGCGTCGTACCGCGTCCAGGTCCACGGCGGCAGAAGCGCACGCCCACGCTTGCGGTGCAAAAATGTGCCTGGCTGCCACTGGTGCCGCTTCCTCAAGATACTGCGGTTTCCTGGAGAGCGCATCCGCTATGACGTTGTTGTCTCCCGGGATATACTCTATCCGGAAATCGAAATCAGCAAAGAACTCCGCCCATCTCATGTGCCTCTGGCTCTGGAGCTTCGCCGTGCGCCAATACTCTAGGTTCTTGTGGTCCGTGCGGACCTGCACGGTGTGCTTGGCTCCGATGAGGAAGTGCCGCCACGCCTTGAAAGCCGCGTGGATGGCCAACAACTCCCTGTCCCAGATGGTGTAGTTCTGTTCCGACTTGCTGAGCTTCCGGGAATAGAAAGCGCAGGGCCTCCAGTTCTCTTGCGAATCTTCCTGCAAGAGGACGGCCCCACTGCTCTGTCAGATGCGTCAGTCTCAACCCGCATGGGCCTGCCGGGATTCACGTGTAGCAGCTGGTCTTCGGACGCGAAGAGACTCTTAAGTCTCCTGAAGGACTGCTCCGCCTGGTCCGTCCAGGTGAACTTTTTCTTCTTGGAACTGAGGGTGTCCGTGATAGCTGCCGTCTCTTTCGCGAAACCCCTGATGAACTTGCGGTAAAAGTTGGCGAAGCCGACGAACCTCTGGACCTCCTTCCGATTGCGCGGGCTATTCCAGTCCAACACCGCGCGGACCTTGGCGCTGTCCATGGCTAATCCCTTGTCGGACAGCCGGTAGCCCAGGAAATCCACCTCCGTCACGTCGAACTGGCACTTCTCCAGCTTGGCGTAGAGTCTGTGCTCCCGTAGCCTCTGCAGGACCTCCTTTACGTCTCTTTCGTGAGTCTCCTGCGATTCCGAGAAGATCAGAATATCGTCGAGAAAACATACGCACTTCTTGTAGAGGAGTCCTGCTAGCACGTGGTGCATGAATGCTTGAAAGCAGTGGGAGCCACCTTGGAGACCAAACGGCATAACTCTGTATTCATAGGTGCCCAGCGGCGTGAACATGGCCGTCTTCCACTCGTCACCTTCCCTCATGCGTATGAGATTGTAGGCTCCGCGTAGATCCAACTTGGTGAAGATCCTCCCCTTCCTTACCGTCGCGAGCAGGTCGTCAATCTTGGGCATGGGGAAAGCCTTGGGTTTTGTCATCGAGTTTATGGCCCTATAGTCCACAATGAGCCGTTTTTGGGGCGTGTCCTTCTTCTTCACGAAAAACACAGGACTGCCCCCACTGCCTTGGATTCTCGGATGAATCCCCGCTTCAAATTGTGATCTATGAACTCCCTGAGCTCCTGCATCTCATCTTCAGACATGGAATACAGCTTCGCAGTCGGCAGCGTCGCCCCTGGTAAGAGGTCAATTGCACAGTCGTAGGGCCGGTGGGGTGGTAATTGGTCAGCTTCCTTCTCGCAGAAGACCTCCAAAACCCCTTGTACTTGTGGGGCACTGCCTGCACCATGCCTAGATGCAGCTGTTGCCCTTCCTCCTGGTCCTCCTGGTCCTGGCCGATCTGGATGCAATGTTGTGCACAGTAGGACGAGCCAAAGGTGAGCTGCCGCTGGTACCACGCCAAGGATGGGCTGTGTCTATCCAGCCAACTCATGCCTAACACTATGGGCGTGTCTGACAGTTGGGTGACATTGAAACTGATGACCTCGCGATGATTTCCAATTTTCAGCAGCATGGGTGGCGTCTGTTGTACCACTTGCCCACCCAGCAACTTCCTGCCATCTACAGTGACCACATTCAGAGGCAGCGTGGCTGGTAGTAAGGCTATGCGATGCTGCTTGACGAACTGCACCCCCACGAAGTCTGCGTTGCTCCCTGAGTCAATCGTAATGGGGACTTCCAGGGTGAGTCCATTAGGCAGCTGGAGAGTAGCAGTGAGCTGCACCACTGGCTTAGGTGGTAAGGGGTCTGTAGGCTGCAAAAGCGCTGGGGACTGCTTCACTGACTTGCCTGGCGGAGCCCCAGCGTCTCTCCCTCCAACCAGGCATTCTCGTTTCCCTGAAACTGCTCCCCTTGGAAAGCTTCCCCTGTTACTGTTGCTAAGGCTGCAGTGTGCTTCTGGAGCCTCTGGGGACACTCTTTAGCCATGTGCCGTGCACTGTCACAGATGTAACACTTCCTGGTCCCTCTAGGAGGCTTCGCTTGACTGCTCCTGACGCTGAGGCTCCGGCAGCTGTCTGAGCCTTTGCACCACCCAGTTCCATCAGTTCTTCCCCCGCTGCCAGCACAGGCGAAAGGCTTGAACGTTCCAAGTCCCTGGAAGGAAAAGGAGGCGCTCTAGCTGGTGGGCGGACGTGACGCCCCTCCTCCCTGTGCCAAGGGCGTTCTTCTTGGCGCACCCCTATCGTGAGTGCCCTCTGCACGACTTCTGCTAGGGTTTGAGGTCTGTGTGCCCTAGCCAGCTCATCTTTCACTGAGCCATGAAGCCCTTCCCAAAACAAGTCCCTCACTGCCAGGGAGTCCTTTTCCCAGCCCAGCACATTCAGCAATGCAAAAAAGCGAGAATGGTACTGACGCACTGTAGCCTTGCCCTGCCGCAATCCATGCATCTCCTGGCGTGCCACATCAACGTCAACAGTAGATTGGAAGCAAGCGTCCATGGCTTTGAGAAATTCATCAGAGTCCCTGCGTGCAAGACCATCTTCGCGCCACAAATTGCGTAACCAGTTTCTTGCTTCCCCATGCAGATGAGACACGATAAACCCCACTTTTTCCTCCTCATCTTTGAAGTCTTTTCGAAGTAAATGCAGTGCGTATACGACGTCTGCTCTGAAATTGGGATAATGCTTCAGGTTCCCATCGAAGTGGGCTACTAAATTGCCCCCCCTCCGTCCGAGTCCGATTCCCTCTGATCTGGACCCCGGGAACCCCTCTCTGCACGCCCGATCCCACCTGGCTTGCAGATCCTGGCATCGCGCTTCTGCTTCAGCAACTGTCTTCTGAGAAACCACGACAGCAGTGGAGAGCTCGGTGACTGCGGTTTGCAGGGACGCTATCTGCTCCTCAGTAGTCATTGCTGCCAAACTTCGTGAGCTGTGCAAAAAAATTTTTTGCGGTTTTCTTGTTGTGAGAGGGGACTTACTGTCAAGGCTGCCTCAAGTCTTAGCTCACAAAAGACCAACGCCTCTGTCTTCTTATATACAAAAGTGTTTATTGCAGTTCATGGTTTGCTTGACATCCTAGGCGCGCAGCCTTACGTCTTTTACGCTAGACCGCCGAAGTCCCCTCTGAGTCAGTTCCTCCCCTGCACCAATTTAAGAGACTTGCGCTGCTCCACCTCTTTCTCTCCTTCCTTTTCCGCAGGGTCCTTCTGCCCACTGGGGTTTCGCCCCTCCTGGATTCCTCTGATGCGGAATCCCCAGACTGCTCTTCCCCCCTCCTGCGGGCTTTGGGACCTGGCCCCTCCTCCGGGCTCCCTGCACTTCCGCGCGCCTCTACATTTGAACTAGGCGCGCGCCAAACCTCTAACTTTCCTTTTGACAGTTACACTACTCCCTTCACTGCTCCCTCCCCTTCCGGGAGGGCGGCTTGCTCTGACCCCCTCCTTTCTCTGCTGCTGGAGCTGCTTCCTCTGACACACTGGAAACTCCACCCCCTTCGCTGCACTCTGGTGGGGAGGCTGGTCCTGACGCCCAGCTGCCACTTTGGGATCTTCCGCTAGCACCCTGCTCCTGACACTTCCCCCCTGGGGCTCCCCTGCCTTGACCACCGGCGCCCCCTTCTGGGAATCCTCTGATTCGCTGGAAAGACTCATGGAATCTCTTGAGTCATTGTCATCCTCTTCCTCGCTGGCTTGGAATTCCTCCCCCTCGCTCTCCATCTCCTGCCTACCCTGTGCCTCTCTCCCTGAACCCCTGACAGGCTCAAACCCACAACCCTGAGATTAAGAGTCTCATGCTCTGCTAACTGAGCTGTCCACCCAATCCAATTCTTAAGAGAGAAATAAATGGGCCCCTAAACACAGGTTTGGGTTAGAGGGTGGTCCAGGGGTCTGTATAAGCAAACCGTGACTGGCAGTGGCACCTCTAGGGTTTCGAGCAGGGGACATTTCCATCCACGCTGAGGACTGAACTTAGGACCTTCTGCTCACAAAGCAGATGCTCTCCCTCTGAGCTATGGCCCTGAGCTACAGAAGAATGATGCCTGTGTAAACAAGCACAGCCCGTGCTCCTCCTCTTCTGTCGGAGCCTTGGAAATCAAGCTATAACTGATTGCTGTTTGGAAAAAGGAACAGGGAGAAAGCAGCCTTGACATGATCTTGGTCTCAAAATCAGGAGCGTAACTGACAAAACGCTTGTTTTTGGTCTTTATTAGCACCACCTCAGCCATGGAGGGGTAGTTTGAACAGACCTTTTCTGCCTCTCTCTCTCTCTCTCTCCTTCTCTCTCTCTCTCTCTCTCTCTCTCTCTCTCTCTCTCTCTCTCTCTCTCTCTCTCTCTCTCCTTCTCTCTCTCTCTCCCTCTCTCCCTCTCTCTCTCTCCCTCTCCCCTCTGGTGTCTGTCTATACTCCTTTCTAGCAGATGGCAACCCGAGCTTGTGTGCTCTGTGCATGCATGCGCTGTAGGTGTCTGTGCCTTGCATTGACATAACCAGGCAAAAGCTATATTGCAAGGCTGGACAGGAGGATAATCTCAGCAGAGAGGGAGAGTTGGAGCAGGAAATCAGGTAGACTTAGAGAAACAATACACACTTGTCAGGGCATTGCTGATTAAGATAGCTTTACACACGTTAAGTCCGTCGGAGCTGGGTGATTATAATGCTCTTTGAGGTGGAGAAATTTATTAAGGCAGCACTCGAGTAAAACAATCTGAGGCCTTTGCCACCAAGAAAGGAGAAAGAGAAAGAGAGAATAGGCTTTCCGTGCTTCGCCGTGGTGAAAAGCAGAGTTGAAATGCCAGATAAAAGTGTTTTATCTGAAAACCGAGAGGCAGGTGAAAGGGATAAAAATGACATAATTCTTGGAGCAACGCAATATGTTGGAATTACCGAAGGATCAGAGATGTAATTTGGAAGGTAATATTAGAGAGAAAGAAATGGTTGATGTTAGATGAATGGAATAGAGGGAATAAGTAGCTTTCAGTGACTGCTTTTAATTTTTATGGAGGCAATCAAGATTCATAGGGAAACCTTTGCTGGGTTAGCCTGAGGAAGGGTCATAGCTTAGTGGTTGAGCCTCTGCTTTGTTTGCAGAAGGTCTCAGGTTCAGTCCCCACCATTTCCAGGTAGGGTTGAGATAGAACCCTGCCTGAAGCTCTGGTGAGCTGCTGCCAGTCAGTGTAGACGATGCTGGGCTTAGAGGGACCAATAGTTTGACTTGGTTTAAAGCAGCAGCTTACGTTCCTATGAAAGAGATGGGGACTTCCTTAATACTTGTAGAGGTGACTACTGGTTGCATCTTTCTCAACCACAGATACAGGAAGCAAGCAGTTTCTGCAAGGCAGCACAGTTTTTCAACCACAGCTCGGAGGCAAAAGTCCTAGCAGCTTTTACTTCCTGCAGAAGCATTTTCCTTTTGTAACACGCAGGCTTTCCTGGGGCCAAACTGCTTTGCAAGTCCCAGGTAGTATGCTATTGAGAGAATAGAACACACACACACACACACACACACACACACACACACACACACACTGCTTCAATATGAGTTTGTAATTCATTGAAAGGGTTGGAGAAAATGAGCTGGCAGCACATTTTAAACCCTCTCTTGTGACAACAAAGTTGTCCGCAAAGCTTGCAACATACCATTCTCTCTTCCCCCCGCCCCAAGACGATGATGATAATCTGCCTGTGGGCCAGGATGGATGGGGAAATTGAGCAACGAGCAAGGAGACCTTGAACAGCTGTCAGAACGTACGTAAGATATTTGGGTAACTTTGAATTGACCACATGTTCTGTTGGAACAAAATACCTTTTTTAGCTGCCCTTGTTGCACATGGATATTCAAATGGGAAGCACTTTCCTGAAATCCTTGTGGAATTTCTGCTAGTTTTAGATAACGGTCCTTTTACAGATGTTCTCATCTTATACTCCCAAGCTTATAATTAATGTGGCTCTGGCGTAATTCAAACTGTGGACTAATTTCTATTTAGAAAGAATTGTCCTCCTTGCAGAATAGCATTGCTGGCAATACCTGTTATACTTAAGCTGGAAGGCCTGTCTGTGTTGCAAATCACAACATGCATTTCTGTTCCTGTGGCAGGTGGATAAGCACTTGCCTTTGCATCCCACAAATCTCTTAAGGTTGACTGCTTGGGGATGGCAGCATTGGGGGCAAAGAACTGGCTGACGAGGAAATCTGGAAAAGGAAAGAGATGAAGCGAGAGACATGGTATTTTTCAGTTATCTGAAGGGGATGGAGCAGGCTTGTTCTCTGTGGCTCCAGAAAACAGGATTAGAACCACTGATGGGAACTACAGGGAGTTATATCTCAGTTAAATGTTAGGAGAAACGTCCTAGTGGCAAGTTCTGTCTGAGAATGAGACAGGCTGCATCAGCAGGTTGGAAGGTTTCTCCTTCTCTGGAGATGTTTAAGCAGAGACTTGATGGCTATTTGTCAGGCATGTTGTACTTGCTTCCTGCCTTGAGCCCATGGTTGTGCTGGATGACTTCTTAAGGTCCCAGCCAGTTATGTGATTCTCTGAGCACACTGCTTTTAAACAGGTGGAAGGTTCTATAAAGCGACTCGGACTTTTAAATCCAAGCTGAAGGCTCAGGGGCAAGAGCTGTGGGAAGGCCAAACCAACAGTAAGCTTCTAAAATTGAGCTCAGCATTTCAGTTTTGGTCAAATGCATCCCTTAAAGAGCTAAGGATTGTGCTCAACAAAGATCTAGTCAGAGCAGACTCGTCGAAATAGATGGACCTACGTTAGAGATGCCCATTAATTCCATTTTGTTTACTCTCGAGTAGGACTAGCACCGGATAAACCGAGCAGGTGCTCTTCCCCTGAACAGCCGCCCTTCCTTTTAACCCTGGTGGTAACAGTTAAAAATGCAAATAGACCCTACAAGCACTGGCAAGGCGCAGAAGGCGACTTGTTGAATATACTCCCTGCTAGGCCACCAGGTGGCATTATTCTAAGTCAAGAAACAGCATAACTGGAGCATTGCCTTGCTGGATCAGACTAGAGGCCTGTCACTGGACACTTAAAGAGCAGATGTTTGCACAGTGCAAGGGGGGGGGGTCTACCTAGGGTCACACGAACAACAGCCCGGACGGGGCAAGCATCTTCCCGACTGTTCTCAAGTACATGTCATGTTCGGGATAAACAGTGGAGTGTCCTCACGGCTGTGTCCTGCCCTTTCCCTTGATTGGTCCATCCTGGAAAGGAATCTTCTCTTCCCGCTGCCCCAGGTTTTGCTCTGCTTTCTGCTGGTTGTTTTCCCTGCGCACTTAGAACATGCTGGGTGCCCCATGCGTCTTTGTTCCTTTTCCTTTCCCCTTTTGTTTATTCCTCGGCTGAGGACAACTCTGCGGAGGGGTAAAAGAGAAGTGTGTTTCTGTTTCTGTTTTGTTTTATTGCTCCGCCAGCAACTTAACTTATCTTGCATTGAGAACATCCTTCTTGTCAGTCCCACGGGGCTTCCTGCCAGGCTCTCTCCCTTTCTTTTCAGGAGAGCTCGTCTCATTCTTGCTGTGATCGCTGACACTTTTGACGAGGCACCATGTGTGTAGAGACCCTCCTGGTGCCGGCAGTGACCCTGTCTCTTCCCATGGGCGCTGGCGGGCTTTGAAAGAGGGTTGGACAGATTCATGGAGGATAAGGCTACTAGCCACAAAGTCTATGTTGTAAAGTTCCTACACTGCCAGAGGCAAGTCCAGCATCTAGTTTCTCACGGTCGCTAACCACTGTATGGTAGGATCAGAGGTCTGATTTTAGTATAAGTCAGCTGCTTGTTCGTTTGCCCTTACATAGCGTATTTTTCGCTCCATAAGACACACTTCCTTCCTCCTAAAAAGTAAGGGGAAATGTCCGTGCGTCTTATGGAGCGAATGTGTGGCCCCTGGAGCTGAATTGCCCAGGGGCGAAAAGCAGATCATGCTTTTTTAGAAAGAGGGAAGGGGGTGATGAAACAAAGCCATTGAGCAGCTGATTGGCAAGCGATCGGAAGGGAGATGAGGGACACTAGCGATAAAGGAGGCTGCCTGGGAGGGAGGAGGTAAAAGCACATGGATCCTCAGGATTTTTGCATTGGGTCACCCCAAATTCACCATCAGATCACATAACATGTCCGTGGCTACAGCCTGCACCAAAAAACACACGCATCCACTGTTTCGTGGGGCCGCAGTGGCGCAAAAACTTGGTTACAAAGCATGGATCCACATGGATCCTCAGGATTTTTGCATTGGGCTACCCTAAACTCGCCATCAAATCACATATCATGTCTGTGGCCACAACATAAACCACAAAAAAACATACATCCACTGTTTTGTTCAGAATTTTTTTTCCTCGTTTTCCTCCTCTAAAAACTAGGTGTGTCTTATGGTCAGGTGCGTCTTATGGAGCGAAAAATACGGTACATTGAAAAGCACTTGCCGCTTCCCTGCCCATTCACCCAGTTTAGAGAACTCTTTTTGGAGTTTGCTCACTTTCTCTCTCTCTGGCTTGGCTGTTTCCCTCTGCCCTCTCTCCTTCCCAGCTGCTGGGAAAAGCAGCCAAGCTCAATCATCAGGAAATGACGGCATTTGGGCAGGGATGCGCTCCCTGCTTTCTTGAGGCAGCCATGCAGCCCTTGGATCTGCTACCATTGAGGGATGAGGGATTTTTCGGGATTCCAAATGAGGTTGAACTTCAGTGCCCATCAGTGTAGCCAGTGGTCAGGGATGATGGGAGTTATAGTGTAACAAACATCAAAAGTGTGCTGCATCGGCTGCCCCTGACATAAGCTGATTTGGGATCCCTACTGGACCACACCTAGGTGAAAAACGCAGCATTGACATTGCCGTCTCAAACAACGGTCAGCCTTGTACTCTAGAGGGTAGCCCAGGGATGGGAGACTGGGAGACCAGTGGGGTTCCGGATATTGCTGAACTACAACTCCCATCATCCCTGATTTGGTTATTCTGGCTGAGACTCATGGGAGCTATAGTCCAGCATAATCTGGAAGGCCACAGCTTCCACCTC